AAATCTCCATTTTTTATTTACGCTTTTAAATGAGATGTAAACTTTATTTATATTTATATATAAAAAATCCTCTAATACAATAATAACAAAATTTAACTATATATAAAATTGTATATAAAAGTCCCCCTAGTAAAATATTAATAAATTTTAACTATATCTAAAAATGAAATTATTAAACAAAATTTATAACAAAATCACGAACTTTCATTAAAAAATTTGTAGTTTTTAGTATACTATTTCTAATAATAAGACCAAAATATCCAACTGGTGTAATGTGTTTTATTGTAGCATATCTAGATTTTAATACATCAACAGGTGCTCGTTTTAACATTTTATTTTCATATTCTTTAATACAAGAAATATAATTTTCTGGTGAATAGTTAAGTAATGCTTGAGAAAGAGCTTCAGCATCTTGAATAGCATGTGTTGTTCCTAATCCTAATAACGGACTCATAGCATGTGCTGCATTTCCAATTAATGTAACTCGGCTACTTGTCCACGAATTAATAGTTAATGGATTGATATCTCTTACTTTTCTTAATTGTATTGGATTATAAGTTTTGAATGGATAAGTTTGTGATTCTTTTGGAACTGCTTTAGGAGCTAAATCCCATAATTCTAATAAAACATCTGTCATTTCACTCTCTGGTCTTAATTTTCAAATCATATTTTTAACATGTTCAACAACCGATGCTGGATTATTATCATCAACTTTGAATTTTTCAGTTTCTTCATTATCTAATTCGCTAGAATAAAAATAAGCTATCATGGTTCTATAATGAAGTTCATCAGAGTTGTTTTTATTCTTGAAATTTTGTACTTGTTCAATTGGAATTAAACGTAATGCAATAAGTGTTGAATCTCCATTTAATCCAAGTGTTTTTTGAATTAAACTATTTCCATTGACTTTAATTAGCCTGTCTATTAGATGCTTAGGTACGACAACATTTGCAACAACAAAAGTTGCTCCAATATCGTTAATTTGTAATTCTGGTATTTTTTGTTTTCGAACTAAAGAAAAAAAAAATACGTATCAATTATTAGTCAAACAAAATAAATAATATTTATTTTAATTTATTAAATCTCGAATTCTTACCTGGGAAATTAACTCCACTTGCATCAACTAAAATGTCACAAAATTCTCGTGAACCGTCATCGAAATTTACCCAAACACCTTCATCAGTTTCTTCATATCTAACAAGCTTTTTACCCCATTGAACTGGAACATTTTCTAATAAAACATCTCTAAGTCTATCACGATAAGCAACAGTCACTGATAGGAAATGATCAGGGATCTCAGCGATTTCATAAATATTTTTAAATTGTTTAAATAGAGGTCTTAGTAAAAGATTTCCTTCATGATCATTAGCTGAAACTCCATGGTATTCTACATCAGGAACTGGATTTGGAATTGCTTTTGGAAGATTTAAAGCGACTGAGGACGGAATACAATTCATAAGTGATTTAAATCCTTGAGATGTAAAGCCTACATGATAACCTTGCCATCGATCTAATGTTTAATAACACAAAAGTTTGAGTTAGTCACGTGATATTATCAATGAAAGACTAATTACAAAATTCTACAAACTATTTACCTTTAGGACCAGATTCTCATTCAAAGATCTTTACATTGAATTCTTTTTTATCTTTGTTTTTTATCAAAGAATAATAAAGAATAAGCCTTCCCGGTCCTGCACCGATAATTCCAACATGAAAATTGTGGAATATTTATAATAAAATAATCACAACGAAATTGATATTTACCGAAATTTATCTGAAATTTACCCGAACTTAACCATTTAGCCGAAATTTATCCGACAATTATCCGAAATTGATTTTCCAAAATTTATTCAAGTGTGCTAAAACTATGAGAACAACTACTGTACACTTTATTTACATTCAATTTTCCAATATTGTACTTTAGTATTTGAAAATTTTGTTCGTTTAATTTCTTATTTGTTTGACTTATTTTGTTTTCGAACTTGTTATTTGAAGTTGAAAATTTTAACAGCAGGATTTAAGTATATTTACAATATAAATTGAAATGTGCAGGATTTAAGTATATTTACAATATAAATCGAAATGAACATATTTTAAGCGTTAAAATTCATATAATTAACTTTAAAGTTAGAATTTTACAATTTCAATAATTTTAAATTAACTATTGCCCTTTGTGTTACAACTATGATGATCATTTTATTCACCATTTCATTCATTTGAGTATTAGCCTTATTTATCAACCATATAAGTTGAATAAAATTCCCCAATATGAAATAAATAATATAATCGTTCAGTCGGTAAGATTATTTAGACTTTCATTTACTATTATAGTATTCATTATTGTTATTACAATATTTATGATGTAACAGTACAGCGCCCTTCATAATTTTTATCTACAGTATTAGAATGATACTATATATATTATCCTGGAATTCCATCATATTGGTCGTTAATTCAATTAGGTACTATAAGTAATTATTGAAACAAAATTTTTAATGAAATCTATATATATTTTCATATTTCATATTTGATATGTACAGTCGCCACTGGTTATACAGAATAGGACACAACCGGCTGAATATTGTATTTAGAATATTTAATAGCAAATTAATAGGATAAACCGTTTTGAAAATGGTTGATGAAACTTGACATTAAATGATATTTTGTATATATTTCGGTAATTATTTTATTTATTTATTTATTTATTTATTTTTTTAAAAAAAATATTTATTCTGAACTTGCGTAAATTTTCTAAATTTTTTGCTTAATATTCTCAACTGCCTATTAAAAATATAATGCAAAATATACGTATTGTTACAATCAAATCTGAGTATCCATCAAGAATCATTATGAAAGTAAAGCTAAAAAATATTCTGAAAAAAAAATGTGGAGATAATTACAAAAGATAAATGTAATAAAAATAATTGTAAAGTTTTATTATTGTAGCATTAATTCATCGATCCATTAGGCCTCAAATATTTTATAAATCGTGAGAGTAAATTATGATTATTATTATCCTATAATTATGTGGAGTAGAAATCTGAATTACACTTCATTAAAACAAACAGTAAAACATAGCAGATAGTACGTGTTGACTTTTTTTTTATAAATCACAAATGTTTATTTTATAATATAGTAATGACTTTATTTATAAACAATATCCAAATACGAGAACAATTTACATAAATCAAAGATGTAATTAAGGCTATACTATATTGATGTTGATATATAACGAGAAGTTATCAAATAACTGAAGATCTCACGATGTATAATAACAGAAAAAAAAAAAAATAAACAGAAATGTCGAAATTAATTATCATCAGTTTAAAATATAGATATTTAACCAAACATTTTTACAAAATTAATTTCAAAGTTTCCCAAAGGTGTGCTGAATCCTGTTACTTTTCCGACTTTAAAACCTACGCCTCCAACTTTAGCTTCTACACCATCGCTGCTAACAGATGCACCTGTATCAAGATTAGGTCTAACCTTTACTTTAACACCCCCACCGTCAACTTCTACCACATCAATACCTGCCTTCATTTCAAAACCAAATTTTCCAGACATCTTAAATATAGAAGTATAAAAAGTCGATATTATTTTTTGGTTATCGTTACTGATGACTTTATTTTAATATAGAGAATACTAAAAATAGATTAAAAATCTTATTAGAAACAGAAGAGGGGACGTTCAAACAGTAAAGGAGAATCAACAAGCGCAAACTTACAAGATTTAAAAGATAGCAACCTATTAATAAACGAGTAGGGAAAATAAGGCACTAGGTTTGCTGCTCTTGAAACAAATGCAGAGTAAGTAATGAATCAGGGGATATAGAAGGGTTTAAATAATTAAATGTTGATTAGAAATCAATTTACAACCCAATTTAGCATATCAACAAAATCTTCCCGTATATAGTTATATATAAAAACTAGTGAGTTTTCGATTCCGAAAAAGTAGAAGAATCATCGTTCCCATATACATTTTTTAAAAATGCTTTCGATTATCATTTACAACCTAATTTGGTCTCTTACCTTACGTCTATCAAAAAATTATTGGGTTTTTGTCAGTGAATCAGAACCTAATTTTATGTTTACCTCGAAAGAAAGAGGGAAGTAAAGGCCGTGAGAGAAAAAAAATCAAGCTTTTGCTAAAAAAAGCTTAATTTTTTTTCGCTATGCCGCAGCGGGGAATCGTATTAAAGTAGTAATCACTAAATATTAATTTTATTAGTTCAGATTTTTCATAATATTCGATATTTTTAAAAAAGATTTTCGATTAGTAAGTAATAAAAATTTTTCTAGATATAAAAACATTTAAATTCTAAAAATATTATGAGAAATTTAAGAGAATTGTGTAAATGATAATATTTTAGCTTTTCCTTTTTTTTTGCTTTTTTGGCTTAATTTGATTTTTGGAATTTGCTATTATTATGTAGTTATGAATGAATTCTATTTAATGAAATACTTTAAAATTGACACATTCTGAACCATTTTATGACAAAATTTTAAGACGCGTACGTCGCACAAATTTAAAAATTTCCCTCGTGTCGATCACTAATTCTCTTTTACAACTCAATTTGGTATTATTATCCTTTGCAAATTTTCAGCAAAATTCATGTGTAAATGAGATTTTAATATCAATTCTTTTAGTAAAATCTAATCATGATAGATGCCAATTATGCTTTAAAAACTTTGATAAAAAAGACCATTTACGACTTGTTTGGAAATTACAGCTGAAATACTCGTAATTGAGGAAAAAAGTTGTTTGTATAGAATATTCATTTATAAACTAATCTGTCAACAAAATACACATAATAAAATACTATTCACTTTACTATTAAATTATAGTCTTTTTTTTAATAAAATTTGGATTATTCAACAGTTGGTACTGTAACATTATTTGTTATTTTCGAATAGCTGATTTACTAGGAGCTGTAGGAGCTGCTAATAATTTTTTAACTGACGTGCTAGGGATCATGTACAGTATTATCTGCTATACAATGCTTATAATTTCGTATGTTTAATCAAGGAAAATAAGTGATTAACATGTACAAAGAAGTTTCTCAACCCAGATCTCATTCAAGTTTAAAGCTGCTAGCTAAATTTGGGCCAACATTCTAATTTCGACCAGATTTTACAACAATTTCGGCCGAAATAATGACGTAAGAAAATTTAGCGTCAGTTTTTCATAAACATTCATTATATTATGCTTATGGTTTTAGTAATGCTTTGGAAAAAATTTCAGCATCTTGAATGACATGTTGTTCCTAGTAATCCTAATAAAGGCTATTATAGCGTGAGCTGCATCTCTATTATGTAACTCGAAAACTTGTCCACGAGTTAATAGATGTCTCGCACTTTTCTTCGTATAAGATTTGATTGCGGAACTGTTTTTAGGAACTAAATCCCATTATTCTATTAATGAGGTATCAGCCATTTCATATTCTGGTCTTAATTTCAAATCAAACTTTTACGTGTCCAATATCTAATTCGCTAAGATAAAATAATTCTATAATAAAGCACTCAGATTTGTTTTCATTCTTGTAATTCTGTTCTTGTTCAATTGAAATTAAACGTAATGCAATAAATGTTGAATCTCCATTTAATCCAGGTGTTCTCTGAACTAAACTACTTCCAAATCTTTAGGTAC